AGCAGGAACCTGTACTAGTCTTAGCTTCATTCCACAATCTCAGTGAGTAAGGAGGATTCTAGAATTACTATTGCAGCATAGAGTTATATGCTCAGTGGAAAGTTCGATTTTAAATATTACTGAAAGAATGTAATCATGTGAAGGCACCAAGCACTGCTGTCTCTTATAGTGTTAATTTTATCAATAAAGGTTTCATTACTCTCAACTGTAGTCCTAAGATGTCTTAGAATTCATTAAATTATGATCTGATTTATACCTGCCTCTTAAGTATAAAGATATAAAAATACAGACAAATCTCGTTCAGGCTACCTACTAGAGATCTTACAGCTTTGAGGTCTAGGAAAGCAAAGTATGCTTAAGTTACAAAATTACTGCATCCTAACTTTCAAGTAAACCACAAGCTAAAACTTCCTAAAACTTTAGAACAGTGCCCAAAACTGAGGCAAACTATTCCAGAGGATGCCTTTACTCCAAATGAGATACTTTTAACTTCCTTTTATGCTTTTTCCTCTTTAAAGAGCTGCTGTAAATAAGCTTAAGTTGCTTCCGATGCTGTTTCAATTCAGAAATCCACCATAGCTTCGAACAACAGTATCAAAGCAGTAACTCGGTGTTTAACGGCCTTATTCAATGAAAAACTCTGCCTGTTCCTGTTGCCCACAGGCTTTGCAGGCTTTATGTAACTATGGCAGGACTGTGGCCTCAGTGCACTCTCACATTAAACAGTTTCCTTGATTGTGTAGGGCAGGGACTGCCCCTGCAATGCTTTTACACTTCTTTCTTCCCACTGAGAATGGAGGAGCCGAGATGACCATGTGCCTGCCTTAAGTACCCATTTCTGGATAAGATGGACCTCCCATAGGATGTCAGTCTTTCCAATAGTTATGGAAGGCTTAAATGTCTTCTGCCTTGGATAGTGGGTACCAAACTTAAAACATCTCAAACAGGCTTGTTCAGGTGTGTTGTGCAGAGCATGAGAATTTTCAACAGCAGCAGGGCAGCTCTGTACTGAGGATGTGATCTAGTTCTTACCTTTGTCTGATCAAGAGCTGTTCCCCACCAAAACAATTTGCTGAAGGCAGTAGTGATGCTAATCAGGTCATGTGAGTCACTGTCAAGCTTTTTCAAATGGTCTGTAGCTAAAAATAATCTTGGGTGCTATGTTGGTACTAACTTGGTTTAAGTAAGGTAATGCCTGAAGTGAGGGGTAAATTATTCTACAAATCAGGTAGCCTTCTTGCATTTGGGCATTATTTGACAAAAACAAGGCTAGTGGGTTTGCTTAGACTATGTGAAATAGTGTAGCTCTCATCACTGGAAGTTGTATATGCAAAATATTTGGCATGTGCCAGGCTGAAGTCTGGAGAAACGTTGTTTTAGTGTTTTGATGTTAACAAATGGAACTCCAACTGACTTGGAAAGCAGAACTTTTCAAGTGTCAAAGCTTTAACTCTGGTCCATAGATTCTTACAGGAGGTGGCTGGTTTGCATCAAATTGGACTCGCTAAAAAAATGAAAAGCCTAGTGAGTGTCACCCTGTCAATTATGGAAGTTCTGAACTTTGTCTTGCATGGACTCCTGAATTCAGCCAAGTGATGAACACTTCTCACTCCTGTTTTAGAAGTAAAACTTTAAGAACACAGTAAATGCTCAGTTGTCCAAAGTCTTCATTGAAATAACTGTTTATTCCTTTTTGTTTCTGAAAGTACTTAGTTCTAAGTGAAATAAGACTTTTACAATGTGTAATGCTGCAATTTAACTATAGTGTTGTGAAGACTAGTGTTTACAATGTAAAATGTTTCAATGAAAAATGCATAAGAATGTCCCTGTAAAATACAGTAGCATGCCTGTTCAGTCACTGCTGTCACATCTTTGCAACTATGGATTACAGCCTTTTTCACTGGAAGCTGAGAATAGTCGAGGCTGAGAACTAAACTTAGAGCCAAACTTAACAAAACTGAGGGACGGAACTGAATTTTTTGTAAGAATTTCATCCAGGTAGCAAATGCACATTTTAATCAAATTTTTAAAGTGTAGGCAAGTGTATCTGTTCTCCTTTTTTTATGGTATAATGCAGTGCTACTGAACTATAAAGGCACCTCTGACTTTTTTTTATAACCATATGGGGACCAAAAGCTAGCAATCTGAGGGCCTTATGTGGTAATCTGGATGTTCCAGTTTATTTTCCAGCTCAGTGCACTCAGCAGCAAAGCCATATATGGAGTCTGACTCAACACCTTGACAGTAGTCCTTATAAAATTGGGGGTACAAGTGAATGGGAAGCTGCCTCAGTTATTGTTAGCACTGAATTCACTTTAAAAACAATAGGGAAATACCATCTAAGCTTGAAGCAATATGTGTTTTTTAAAGTTTTTAAACAGTATTTGTTTTTAATGCTTCTGTATTGTCTATATTTAATAGTGTAGTATCAACTTGTATATGTGAATAAAATGAGTGACACAAAGTGCCTTGACTGCTTGTACTGTGTTACTTGGAGTCTCAGTTTTTCCATTACAGGGTGGCTTTGGTCTCTGCATGCCAACTGCTGCTTCTGCTTGTCTCGTATATTTTCTTCTGGACAGTGAGGGACAGGTTTGTATGTTGGGTAAATGGTTAGATTACAGTTACCAGTCAAGCTGAGCTTGTCTCCTCTGTTCCTCCAAGAACTCCCCTGCAGACTCTTAATGCCCTTGCCCAATCTGACTTTTTTCTACCACTAGTAAGGGGAAAAAACCAAGACCCTAAAATATAATAGCTGTCTGAAGCACTCTGCATGCTGAAGCCTTTGGGGAAGAAACAGGAAGCTGCATCACTAAGATCAAACATAATCTTGCCAACAGGAGACGTTACACCACTGAAGGGTGGCGACACTGAAATTCTGTATGCTGCTCGTTCTGTAGTAAATAAGACCTGGTGGTTTTGCTCTCTGTGGATTTACAGATTCTTAAAGCGGTTAATTCTTTCCGCATATAGAAGAATGTAATGCAAATGAGAGAGTAATCACTTTTTTTATTACATTCATTATTTGAGGACTTACAGGAGCTATGTACTTTTGAGCTATAAGGTGCCTAGTCACTCCACCTGCTTTCCCACCCACATACTGACTATGCAGTGAATTTAGCAAAAATGTTGTTTCAAGACTGTCTAAGGCTTGTCATGTTATGGACTTCACTTAGCAGGCAAAGCTTGTAGAATTAAACAGAATTTGCTGTAAAGACACCTAGAAAATCAAGAACGATTCTTTATTTGGTGCTAGATACAAGCATTAAATAAAATAGTGTAGGCCAACATACTCGTTAAAAGGCAAGACATAGGCTTTAATAAGACATTTAAAACTTTTAAAGGTCTGAACAGCTAAAGCTCCACATCCAATAAATCCTAGGATAATAGGTACCCAGTATTATTTCATGTAAAACTCCAAGCCATCTTACTTTGGTAAAGTTTGAATTTCACACTAAAAACATACATAATTTAACCTATCTATCACTCTTTCGGCAAGCTAGGTTTAGTTTGCTGTGTGGACTGTAATGCTAAAGCTTAAAATCTACTCCAGGGCTGTTATTGGCATGATTGATTTTTAGAAACAAAACACCCTCAGAGGAGAAATAGTAAACAATACATCTTGTACTAGTGAGAGCTGTTGCTTCCAACAGTATTTCCCTCAGTAGTTGTCATTTTAGAAAGTTTGTTTTTAAAATGAGATATGCAGCATAAAAGGTTGCAATATTATAAAACATGCACATTAACCTGGTTAATGTGTATACAGTAAGAATATACATTAAAAAATGGTAAAAACCATGTCAAAACACATTATAATGACACTATTCTTTCCTTCCAGGTAGGAAGGGGACAGCTTAAGACAGTTGGTTACAGAAAGAATAAAACTGTGCTTTCTGCTTCTTAATCACAAACACTTGACCAAAATGATTGTAAGAACCAAGTATACAAAAGAGGCCAGTCTTGTATGTAAAGGGAAAAGGACAGAAAGAAGTGTAAGAAAATCCCTACCAAGCCCCCGAATTTCTATTTGAAAGCAACAGAATTAAGAAACAGTCCACTGCTCCTTTCAACAGCAATAATGGAAAGAAGTTTGTATCAACAGGCAACAGCACTTCAACCACTGGAACAGTGACAGGACAGAGACCTTCAGCTTTCACTTCTGTCAGTGTACCAAGAAACCCAGTTAGATTGTGGGGGGGCAGGGGGAACAGACTTCCCAGTACATCATTTCCCAGCATTCCAGAACTGGTTTGGAGTTTCAAAACCACCACCCTTCCCAGGTCTAGCAGAAACCTAACACATCCCAGTTAACAATCTGCTGTTTGGACTGGTGAAAGGGACAACTATATCCAGCATCTGCTTCAGAGGAGTTGCTTTTGGTAATTAATTCCCATTCTGAGTACTGGAAGCCAAAATAAATAGAGCAGGCAGTAAGACAGGTAAGTTTCTTTGTAGTTCTTTGATGTTCTTGTAAATGCACAGTTAAGCTACTTCAAAAAATATTTTACAGTCTTTCGAGGAAGAGAATACTTCTTGAGAATAAGGGTTATACGTTATGTCACAAATCCAATCCCAGATATAAGATACATGGGAGAGAGATAAAAGTCTTTGGACTCAACAGCCTTTTAAAACTAAATGCAGGCTTTTCAAGTAAAAAGCAAACTTAATACTTTCTAATTCAGAGATGACCTAAGGTGTATAGGTTTCAGATAAGCATCCATTTGAACCAGAAATGTTGGGACAGAGGAAACAATTTTAAATACATTCCTAATTATGTGAAAGATGGTATACCTATGTGTAGCATTCTTGCTTTGCTCTTGTGCTTCAACTGCCCTCTAAATTACAGCATCAGTTCAGTTTTTAAACATGCATTTGAGAAGTAACCCTTAAATAGAAAAGATTCATAAATAGAAAATAATAATGAATGTTTGACCTTGGCATTTCAAAACTGGGTTCTGATCAAATGAATTACTTGTGTTAATTTGCACTTCCAAGGAGATATCCCATTTCTAGTCATACAAGCAACCAAGTAAAAATGTCACAAGTGATTTCCATCAGTGCAAGTGAAATTGTCCCCCCCAAAACTGGTTGAATTTGGCTACCTCCAGAACCACTAGCTAAATTCTGCAGCTCCTTATCTGGCAAAACAAAAGCCACAGGTCCCCTACCTGATAAGTTGTCATGGCGCTGTAAAAAATATGCAATACTTGTGGTTTAGTCCCCCCTCTTGGACTCGCTGCAACTCTCTTCCTCTTCTGTCTCCAGCTGAGGAATGAGGACAAGATTCCTAATCTTTTGCCCCATGCCTCTTCCCCACAATTAAAAGAAGGGCAGGAAAGAAAGTCTGAATTGTATATTTTACCACAGAAAAAAATATTAAAAAAATTTAAAAAATCAGTACCAAGGCTGAGTTTCACAGGAAGAAAGAACTCCGTAAGTAGTACACTTCATTTTTGTCCTGGGGGTGATGTGGGCAGCATTACGTATACTGCACACACATGATGTTCAAAGGTCTAGCTCCAGTATGACAGAATGCAAGGTAAGTTCCTAATTCTAAAGTCTAAAATTCAAGTTCTTAGTTGTATCTTATGAATGTTTAAGAAATTAGTATTTTCAATTTCATATATTTGGGATACCTTAGAATCACCCATTTGGGTTCTGTGTGTACTTCCCAAGTATGCCTTAACAGATATCATACTTGCCCAGCTGACTGTTCTGTTTGTGATAATGCTCTGCGTGCCCCTGCCCTAGAATTACAACACACACAGAAGATGCACAGTTCTGCTCACATACACATTCCACCTTCATGATGCCAGTGCTATACAAAACATCAGGACCGAGGGAAAAAAAAAATAATAAAAAAAAAAAATCAATGTCAGTCAACAGCCATTTGAGAGACTCAAAAGTATTTTTTCTGAACTTCTGAAGTTTGATAAAAGATCTGCAGAAGTTAAGAGCTGCGATAAAATGGGATATGTGGACACCAATAAAAATTATTTTTCCAACTTGACATGTTAGTAAATGTTAAATACAGGTCCTAATCACCTGTTGAGAATCAGTCATGTCAACAGCTTGCTAGAATGTGGCAAACTAAATAGGAAAAAAATAAAACCACCCATTCACTGACAGTGCCAGTGGTTTTATAATTCGGGTCATAAATATTAACTATTGTGCAACGAACAAACATAACAAAGCCTACCTCAGTTAAATTCGTTTATATGATAAAAAAATAAAATATTAAACTGCTCATAGTGCAACATTCTATCAGCATACATAAGTATACCATGCTTCATAAAGTTACTGTTACTTTATTTACAGTATATAGCAATGCTTTAAACTAGAAGTTAAAGAATAAAAATAGGTCATGGGAAATGTTTACGTACAGGTACGAGTCTTAATATTGTCCACCAAATTATCAAACTCATTCCACAGACTTCTGTGCAATGTGAACATTCAGGCCCCACACCACACCTTTCTGTCGGCAGTGGTCTGCTCTGTCTGTACATAATGGTGACGCAGAAAAAAGATGTTTTTAAAAACTGCATAGCCTTCAAGCTTTTCTGTTTCTTCATACACCATTGGCAAAGACAGCTGTAAAATACACGAAAAATACATCAATTATCTACATCTAACCAAGCTGAAAACTCAACTGCTGAAATATGATAAAAAAAATATTCACTCCTGTAGAGCTGTACCAAAACTAAATGCCCTTTTCCAGCAGTCTCTTAGTCAAAGGAAGGTATTTTATAGGAGTAAAAATAAGGGAGAAAAGCAGTTCAAGGATTTCTACCCATTATTTAAGATTCTGAGCTTTAATTGGGAGCTAAGCTCCTAGAATACGGAACAAAATATGAGAATGTAGAATTGTATGCTGCCTTATTTAATGTTCTGTAAAGCTTCTGTTGGTGTGCACTGCTCAAACTGATAAACAAAATGAATACAGTAAAAAATTATGTAGTAACTATGCCTGCAGTACTTGTTTAATGTGATACTGCTGTCCTCATATTAGAGAAATAAAGATTAATTATATCAGAATAATTAACCACAGAGGGAGAAAGGACTGTCCTAAAGAACCACTTAACTCCTTGCAGTATGTAAGTAAAATCCACTAATCTTGGGAGATGTCTTAAAGACAAGCATTTGGAAAAAGGACAAACCACCAAGCTGTTCTTAGGAGTAGGTTGTGACTTTTATCTCTCTTCTCCTACCACTGCTAAAGGCAAACATCTGTTCCTCACTTTCTCTGAAGGATGTCTTTGGAAGACTCTTAGAAGACTGCACACCCGTTCAAAAAGCTGAAACAGCCCTAGAAGACCTACTTTAGATGACAACACTGCTTAAGGAGCAAACAATAAAGTTGTTTTTTGTAACCTTACCTTCTGTAGCTAAAGTAAGTATTGGAGATTTTGTGTTTTGTTTTTTTAACACCCACACTCTTGAGCACTTTCTGATTGTGCTCTACGCGGTGATCTCAGCTGTCTCAAGGCAGCATCTCCATACTGAATACCTGAGCCCATTCTTTCTGGATCCAGTTCTCCTGATGAGAAACAAAACAGTCACAAGAAAATGGATCATGTGCAAGTAATAATAAACTCCAATTTAACAGACAACAAATAAAAAAAAAGCATGATTATATTCTGCTCTAGTTACAGAGGGATCTACTGCAATTCTGTTTACTTTTATCCAATTCCAAACTTGCATTGTTTTCTCTTATAATTTCAACCTTGTGCCCTTAATCATAATGACAAAGTGGTTTGTATGCAAGTTAGGCTGCAACAAGAAACATATTTGCACTATCTACTTCCAATAAAGGAAATGTCCAAAAGGTTTTCTGCAAACACTGTCAAGAAGCATCTGCTTTCAGAGACATATGCAAAGAAAGCAGTAGCGTAATTGCCAAGCCTAACAAAAATTGATCAATTTGATAGTAGGATTCCATAAAGCACTGGCCCTAGAGAAAATGATCTCAACCTTGCCTATTTCTGGTATCCATTTCTGTTGCTCTATACCCTGTTCTTTCAGAAATGTTCTGACAGCTCTGTGGTGGACCAGACCAGCCAAGATTAGAAACATTTAGTCTTAAAAAAATCCCCAAAACAAAAAAACCACACCAACCCACAGAAAAAAACCACAAAAAACCCAAATCAAGCCAAACAACAAAACAAAGAATCCCTCTGAATAATTCAGGTTCATTGTGCACATGTGAACCCTTTCTAAGCCAGCAGATGATTCCATGTTGAGGAGACCAGCTCAAGGGTAGGGCTGCTGTCCAGAAAAGACCTTGGCCAAGCCAGAGGAACAGGCCAGCAGGAACCTCATGAAATTCAGCAACTAAACATGCAGAGCTCTGCACCTATGATGGAACAAACTCAAGAACTGGTACAGACTAGGGACTAACAAGGTAGATAGCAGCAACTGGTTACCACTGGGACAGACTGCCAGACTTATTCCTGGAGCATCTTAAAATGTGCCTCAACAAGCACTGCACAACGTGCTCTCATTTCCACCCTGACTGTGGTTTAAACAGGAGGCTGAACTAGTGAACCCCAGAGCTTCTCTTCAGTCTCAGTTTTTCCATGATGCAATGCATGTGTGCTGGCCCAAAGGAAACAAGAGCAGTTCACAGAGAACTGGACTTCTGTGGTGGTAATGCTTCTTTAAATCAGTCATGGAACTACAGTATCATGAGAAACTAACTATACTCCCCTTTTGGGGATGTTTTGTTTTGTTTTTAAACGAAAGCTGATGTTTGGCATTGATTTGACACAGTAATCAGGAAATTCCTATGAAAATATCATGTTCTTTTCATCTAAAAATTTGTGTTTGGCATTTCAAATATGTAATTAGAGTCTGAGGCAGACTTTTCAATGTGGCCAATACTTAAAACCTTGAAAATATCAAACAGCTAGAAGAAAACTGGAACGCTAATCAGCTGTAATAACACCTAACACTTATGAGCCTGTCTCCCACAGAAACCTGCCTACTTATGCCGAGAATCTTCTGGTATATTTCTGTATCTGCAAAATATGGTTTCAGCTGAGAAGCAGGAAAGTCACTTCAGAGAAACACAGTTGCTAGGAAACATCCCTGAAATTTTCAGCATTACTCTTCAAATTCTCTTGACTGTATTTCCTGCTACACATGGGAAGCAATATTAAAAGTTATGTCTAACTCAGACTTGATGTTTGTAGGGACGTAGCAACCGACAGAAGGCACAGCCTACACTCAGAGCTGACTGTTAAGGTAAACGTTGTGTGAAAACATTCTAAAAGGGATGGTGGTGTGAATTTTGATAAACAGCTCTGATATCCATTCCTATTACAAAACAGGTTAAGCAGCTAAAAATCAAAAGGGTTATTTTACCACAATGAAGTTTTGATTCTTTGGGTTAATTCTACTAGAGAACTTTGAATGGTGATATTTCCATGTGTACTTGTAGTTTCCAGAGGAAAAAAAAAAACAAACAGAACCAAAACCAAGATACCAAACATTAAAAGAAATAAATCTCAATTTACCTGATTCAATTTTATTGAGTATTTTTCTTGCACACTGTACAAAGGCCTCTTCAACATTTTCCCCCGTTAATGCACTTGTTTCCAAGAACATCAGCTCTGCATTTGAAACCAGAAAAAACAATTTCAAAACAAGTCCAGAATATCTGATATAGTAATTTAAAGTATAAAAGCTAAGAACAATAACAGGTTTTTAAGGAGAACTACTGTCAAACAGTATGGTCCAGAAAAATTAGCTTTTGATGGCAAAATCATATAAATTTCAGAGAAAGATTTTTACATTAATGCTAGAAAGTTGGAACCCAGAGACAGTAACTTGGGCTGTGCATGCAAAATCGCACACAAAACCGAAGAACTACATATAGTTTCCTATTAACAGAAAGTTATACGCAAAAAGACAGCAAGTAGCCACAGTTGGTAGAAAAGACTATTTATAATTGATTTATAAAAGCAAAACCAAATTTTACTGATGACAGGACTGCAGCACAGAAGCTCAGACTGAGACTGGCTTTAGCTGCCATAGAAATGAGCCCTAAGACTGAAAATTCTGAATACTACAGACCAGTCCTCCAGATCCATGCCATGCACTGAACTCAGTGTCTCACAAGAAAAACTCATTGCTTCCAACTGCCACACACCCCATCCAACCTCATCTATAGAACCTATAAGATGCTGAGAACTAGAAAATCATGCTCTTCATTTTCTGCTCAGCGCTTTGGAGGCTAAGCAATACTTGAAGCTGTATTACACTCCTAGGGACTATATATCCACATACAACATATTCTTTAAATAGCAACTGGTAGAATCACTGGTAGTGAAACTTAAATAATACATGTGGTTTTCACTGCAGGCACCGTCTTCTCTCTACAGCTCACGTACTGATAGAACTCTCTTTTCTGTAAATATTTGACAAGGTACAGTGGGCAAAGTACTCTCTAACTGCACAAAAAATGATTTTAAGCACTAAGCATCTTTGAATGCTGCATGAAGATTTTGTATCACTTACCATTTTCTTGTGCAAACCGGGATGCTTCTAAAAAAGTAACTTCACGATCTGCATCAAGATCCTTTTTGTTTCCACACAGGATTATCACAATATTTTGACTTGCTAACATTCTTGCGTCTGTCAACCAATTAGTAAGTGCATTGTAGGTTTCCCGGCTAGGTAAGAAATTACATCCTTTATTAGAACACACTCATTTCTTGTAAACAGATCACTGAACTAAAACCCAGAAGGCAAATCTGTATTTGTGGCAAACAACAAAAAGCTGCTAGCCAGACAAAACACCTACACATCCTAATGTGCCGGCTATGAACTGGGAAAAGTATCAAGTTCTTTTACGGAACTATATAAAATCTGCAAGTTTTCAAAAAAAGCAAAATCAGGTCAACGACAATATATAAACAAATACACACAATTGTAAAATATCCTGCTAATGTGAAAAGCTAAAATTTTAAGCATTGATCTAGTTTCGGCCTTCTGTGCATGTAATTTTGGGATAACGAGAGGAGTTATTGTTTAATATGAAATTCAACTGACACTTAAGTTTTAGGTAAGAATTTCCTACCCTTGCATAGAATTATGTGCCCGGACTTTCACATTTGCATCAAGACCAGTGAAATTGCAGTCAGTTACCCTGCACACACCATCAGTCACTGTAGTGGTGGCCAGACACAAAGCCTGCAAGCAGTAAGACTGACAGACAAGTCCAACTTACCTTCAGCACAAAATACAGATTTCCAAGACTGCTCAGAGGAGAACAGCTCACTCGCAGGACAGAAAGCAACAGAACTAGCAAATCATAATTAGCTAACACAAAACTTATCTGGCAAGTACCTGTCAATGGTGGCCATGAACAAAACATGGAAATGTGTAACAGCAAGGTATTCTGTTGGCTGTCTAAAATATTAAAAGATGCAGGGATGAACGGAATTTTGGGCTACAGTTAAGGAATGTGTAAGTAGAGCTGGCTTCTTCAGAGGATGCTGTTACGCAAGCATACAAACAAGCAGTTTCCTCCAGTCGGGGTACGCCACCTTGGTTAAAAGTGGCTAAAGTCTGCTCTTAGTTGCTGTTGCAAGGCTTCCTGAGCCAGTGGTTGCATGTAGTGCACCATGGTTAGAATAGCTACTGGTGGGCCAATTCCCATGTATTTGTCTAACTCTTTGAGACTATTTACATTTATAACATTCACAATACCAGTGATGACACTCACAATCACTTATGACATTAATTTACATTTAATGTGACACATCCATTATGACATTCACAATATCTCATGTAAGCAAGTTCCAAATCTTAAACATGCACTAAAACAGAAGTACTCTTTACACTTATTTTCTTACTGCCCATTCTCTGTTAGAGGATTAGATACCTGGGGAGAAGTCCTTATGTGTTAATTTATCTGGCAGTCTAAAGCAAAAGAATTGCTAGCTTCCTTACCTGGTTATATCATAGACAAGCAAAGCACCTGCAGCTCCTCTGTAGTAACTCCTTGTTACAGACCTGAAACAGAATTACAGATGTACATTTCTGTAATATCTTCATTGTTTAAAATCTGGGTTAATATAATGCAATCTATATTATGAAACATAATTCTCATTTACATATATAGAATAACTTTTTTAACAACATTATCAGCTGTGCAACAGCAAACTATTTACAACTAGACTTCTGACAATGCACTTTCACTAAATATAGCTCTACAGAGATTCTCAAAATCCATTATGACCTGTGTGCTGATGAAGCTACACATAATAATAATATTATGCTACGAAATGGTTCTCATGCAGACTTTTAACAGCTTACACCTTCCTGGCATTTACTTATTCCAGCCAACAGAAGGTCTTCTAAACACAGAGTTAAAGCCACACCATTAGCTGTTTGGGTGGTAAGCAAACTTTTAGCCACATATTCTACTCATATACCTTAACTATCACAGAAAATACTCAATGAAAGCAAGGGCAGAACCTCATATCTTGCAAGCAGCATTACTTTAGTAAAATCAGTGGATCTACATTACCATGTGAAAGTTGGAAAATCTGGCCTAGTTAATAATATGAAAGCAGACAAACAGTTCCACTGACCAATAAATTATGCCTACTTACAAGCAGGAATAAATAATATACAACACCCACAGCAACAATTTGATAACAAACACTTAATAAAATGATTGAAAAAGGTACCTGAATCTCTCTTGTCCTGCTGTATCCCATATCTGCAATTTGACATATTTACCACCAACATTTATGATCTTTGAACCAAATTCCACTCCAATAGTATGATTTGAGTCATCTTTGACTACAAAAAAAAAGAAATAAACCCAGACTTATTTAGAGAGCATTTAGAGTGAACCATTAGTTTTTACTAATCCAATTTAGGTATAATCAAAACTCCTCAGTGTTCAAATTACAGACTGCTTCCTGAATCTCTACTGCCACCATGCAGAAATAAAGTTTCTAACAGTTTTTGAACAGCTTATTCAATTAAAAATTACTGCTAGAAAGGTCTGCCATCATTCATTCCCAGTTTGCATTAACAAATGGCAAGACCGTTTTCGTACGCTTGGTTTTCCAACATCGAGAACCGACTATTGCACTGTCATTGTAGCAGTTTTGAAAATTTATTGCTTTTTTCGTCAAGTTAGCATTTACTAATACTTTGATGCAATTTAAAAGCAAAAGTCATGGAAAAGCAGAACAGTCTTGCCCATGAATAAGGAAAAGATACTTCTTTAAAGTGCAAAATTAAGATACTTGCTCTATGTACACTGTTAATATCACAGATTCTCAGCAATGTCCTTACCAGATGCAAGGTCACGGCTCAAGTTCAATCACAGCATCACGTCACGCTCCTTACTGATTACACATTATTATCCTAAAGCTATTCCTCAAGAGATAAGGTGAATTACCATTGGGCTGAGAAAGACAACTGTCACCTCAGATTTACAAAGGTCTCTAAATGCGTATTATTTTTGTTTAATCATGATGCTAAATGCACTATCCAACAGGAAATTTTCTTTTATATCATCTGCTCATCTCTAAATAACATTTACAATAGAGTCTCTACCATTATTTATCATGTAACATAGACTGTGTTCTTTGTTAAGGACTATTTATCTAGAAATAGACTACAGGTTTTCTAAATCTACACAAGCAATTCAACTTTTCTTTCATCTGCTCAGTATGTTTTTCTAAAAAATCCAAGTTTCTACTATATGTCTAGGGAAGCTTATAGCTGCAAGATCTAATTCTCACCAAAACCAAGATGTTTGTTAAAATACAGACTTAGACTTATTTGAGAGTAATAGAGAATACTGCTCAACATCAGGCTTCTGAAAAGAGGTAAAGAGCAAGAATAATGATTTACAGCATGGTTCTGAATATAATTCTCAGTCAAAAGCCTCATCTATCAAGAGAATTGTGGGAACTTCCACACAAAAAATACACACTCATGTAGGCAGAGCCTTTATCTGTGGTATAAAGCAATGAAGAACTTTTACTGCATTCACATATACTTACACTTCTTTTCAATAAATTGGTGTAGTAAACAGGATTTTCCAGTCCCAGCATTTCCTATGACCAAGAACTTAAACAGGAAATCTGAAGATTGAAAGACAAATTAAAAAAAAAATGCGAAATTTTAGGACACATTCACATTTTTGTCCCAAGATTGAGTACACAAGCCAGCTATTTTCTAGTAGCTGAAATTTCAAAGAGAAGGGACTAAATGACAAAATTAGAAAAATAACAGTAAATCTGAGTAGTAACCCAGTGTATTTAACAGTGCTGTTACAAAGTAAGAATTAAGAATGTAATTTGTGTATGAAGATACAAGAATGACAGGATGAGACAGAAATGGCTGAATTTGAATTCAGTTAAAAGAGGTTGAATTGCAGGTATATGGTTGGCTTGTATTCTAGTAACCTGTTTTAAGAGTATATTACCTATAGTTAAGCCAAATACCCTGCATAATGATGTCATCTCTTAAAACTTACGGTTTTGTACTTTTTGAAATCGCTGTATTTTTTTATTTTACTCACATTAATTTGAACTTCTCTATGTTAACTGCTTAGTACTCATACTTCATTTTAAAACTTGTAAAGCTGGAATAACTACAATATTTTTATACAAAATTTACAGGCAAGAAGTAATTTTTATTCCGAGATGCCTCCTTTCACATTTCCTCCACATGGTAAACTAAGATACAGGTACTTCTGGCACTTTACCTATTTATGAGCCATTGACATCAGTGTTCATGAGTAATACGTGTATTCAGAATTTATGGTCCATTTGTATTGTTTTGACAGTTACATACCACCTCCTCCAGATCTGCTTTTAGTTTGGCTAAAGACTGAAGAAAGCTTCCTTGTCTTACCACTCTCAAATATATACACCCATAAACTGTGATAAGAAAGCTTACAATTGCTCCCCCTAATATATAGCCATCAAAGCAACCTTTACAGTTTCTGCAAGATGCACTATTTATTTTCCTAGCAACAGCAGCTTTTTTTTACAGTCATCTTTACAAATTTATTGCAGTCTCTTATAAACACGGCAGGTCTCTAGAAGACATCAAGTAAGTATGCAATGAAAAGTATTAAGTTTGTAATATCAACAAAAATAAAAACTTAATTTCATCAACAGTGTTCAGAGCTGTCAAATGGGTTACACAGGTATTGGCCCAGGGGATGGCAAAATAAAAATAAACTAGACTATGCTAAGCAAGTTAAAGAACTGATACATCATCAGAATCTCACTCTGAGCCTTTAGATTCACAAACTGAATTTAACATGTATTCAAATCCAAGTGCTCATTCCATTTTATGCAGAAACTGTTATTATGATACATCATAAACACCCCCAGCAATGGTAAACTACAAACAAGTTTCTCACATGGTAAGAAAATGCGCCCTGTTGAAAAGTCAATAGCAAAACAGAAGAGTTAAACATGAGTCCTGGAATTGTGAACCATCCTTTGTCTTCCAAACTTTATTCATATTTAAAATGAGGTAGTATTTTAGTAAGGATTTTTGCTTGTTTTACATTTTACCTTTGCAAGATTTTTCTTGTTTCAGATGTTGTTTAACAGGCTTGGTATAGATCCTTTATCCTACCCTTCTCAGAGATTGCTGTTTCTTGCTCACAAATACAGTCATTTCTACGCTCAAGACATTCTGTTCCTAACTCCTCTCATTCTTTACGCCCTCACCCAGCTGTTCATGCTTTCTGGATGAAAAAAAAAAATGGTTACAAAAGGGATTTTGCTTCAGGTTGTGACAATTTCATGTGTTATCTCCTGGAAAGAAGGGCCTTTCATGTCATCTCAACTGCAAAGCACACTGAAGTTGAAAATGCTTCATTCTATCAGACCTTCCCTGTTAGTACGAAATGTAGATATCACAAATAGCCCCGAAGTGTTAGGTCAAGAAAAAAATTCAGCTCGGAAAGCAAGCCAGGTTTCTCTTTTTATGGACCAAATATCACTTGTTAGCTGCCTCATGTACCTTTTTGTATATTTAAACTACTGTGGGTGTGTGCAATCTCACTGGTTTTACCACTTTCAGAGAGTTCCTCAAAACGCAAGATGTTCCAAGACAGTCACAATTAAAATGATCTGTTTCTGCTCTCTGCAGTTCTTCCCCGCAAAAACCTGAAGTGCAGTTAAAACTGGTTCTCCTATGTATCTGGTGAATGTTGCTTGACAGATTTTCTTATTTAAAAAGTCAACTACAAAACTCAAGTCTACCTTCCTTTTTTTCCATGGAAGACTCATATTATTGACAGCGGTATAACAGCTATTGTCAAACTAAACCAGGAAAAGAATAAACCCAAAAAGCTAGTCCTCCAATAATTTGCTCTGTGGTTGTAAGGGCTGGTTGTTAAACGAGGTTCATGAAGCCGTACTTGTGCAACCCACAAACCCATGCTGAACAGCAAATTGAACGCGCTGTTCCATTCTGTGCTGGCAGGCTGTAGGCCAGAGAGGAACCGAGACAACGGTCTTACTGTTAGGGACTGATTGGGAATAGCTTCGTAACAGCAGTGTATTTTTCCTGAAGTGTTTTGAGTTGTGTTATATCTTGGTCTGAAAGCAAGAGTGATATTTCGGGGTTTTATATTCATGTCTTTAAATTGGCAACATATTCTAGCAGCATTTCTAATAGACTACCAATTCCAATCAATATTCTATTGTGCCAGACAACTTTAAAATGGAATCTTCCCCACAAACAAATCACTTGGATGACAATTCAATACCTGCTTACTTAGTAGACCAAAAAACCCCACATTACATATTTCTCTCTGGCAAACTAGCAGTTTTCTAGACTTATGTTAACAGCTTAACCACGGGCACTGGATAACATGTTTCAGGAAATATGGAATACTTTGAACATTTAATCAATTGCAAGGAAGGACAAGAAAAGGGATTTGCCAAAAGTCACAGATATCCATATTTAACAAGTTTTAAAGTTAGCAGCCCACCATATTAATGAGTCAGGTAATCCCAGGTAAGAACAAGGAAAACACATGTCATTTTGTTATTCTGGAACCTCTTTCCTATAACATTATTCTGTATGATAACAGGAATCACATCAATTACATTTTTATTGCTTGATTTAGGACATGAAATATCTTCTCCTTGAACTGTGCAAATTTAAATTTAGCACATTTCAGAAACACAAACAGTGAATGAGAGTGGACACACAGCGTCTTTTAACCCAGCTGTAACATCACTGCATGCTCAAACTCAGGAAAAACTTTTCTGTATTCATTCTTTGGAATTTCAACAAACACAACTCATATTCTCGCATTTTCACTACTGTTTAATTGCTCTAGTTTTTATTTTTGGTCTCCTCTTCCCACTCTTCCCAGAGGAGCTAAGTCACTTCATTTCATCGCCTTTTTTTCTTTTCTTTCCTTCCCCCCGCCTCAATTGACAAAGCAGCTCCGAGGTCCAACATTCCAGTTAGCTGCCAAGGCTGTCACCCCTGGAGAAGTTTTTCTTTTGAATTCTGTTTTTCCTTCTTCATGGGAAAGCTGAAAAGCAACATCATTCAGATGTTACAAACGCTTGCTACCATGCTGGCTACTGAAAAGGTCTAGAAAAGTTAAAGTACTTTGCCTGTACATAAGATCATCATTATACAAAAAAGATTTGGGATGAAAACTGAACTCTGTTCAAGGAAAAAGGGTTACAAGACATGCACTAGAGAAAGCATAAAGAGATGAAAGCATAGCACAGCTGTTTGAGGAAGACATACAGAATCAACTCACTCCACTTTGTGAGCTGCATCTATCACCTGATTCCCAACTGAGTAGGAGGTACAGGAAACAAAACTTATTTTCTAGCATAGGGAAAAAAGAGTAAAATTACGGCTCCATCCCAAAGATGCACCAGCAGCTAAACCACATCTTTGGGGAGGAGGAGCTGAGAGGAAAGGAGCAGGGAGACAATGGTGGGCTTTGACTACAGTACCAGCAAAACCAGCTGACGGATGTGGAAACCACCCCCAAACATCCAATTTCCTCCTTCGACTGAAGTATACTCCAGTAGAAGAAAAAAAACGAACAGCTTCTGAGCCACCACAGCTTAGTTTTTAAAATGTAATGATAATTAAGTTGTTTCTTATATACTTGCTAATATAGAAGGAGAAAAAACGCAAAATAAAACAAACCCAAATTACATCATCAATCTCATTCATGCCATGAAAAAAGTGTTCTGCTAGTTAAACACCTATTTTGCAGAAGTCTGCATAAGGAACGAGTGCTCTGAAGCATTCCTACTGGCATATGCTACTTCTGAATGAGAGAAAAGAGAAGCTATTCTCCCTGCTTACTCCTTTCTCTAGTAATAAAAGTTAACAAGATAAACAGGTAGAACAGACAAGCCAGGTTCTACATAACAAATACTTGAAAGAGGGAAGATCTCCTTCCTTACAAGCAAAAGAGCTCTGCCCTCTAAGCAATAAAAACAGATTTGAAATAAACTGAAGGCCAGGCTTATAAATGCAGAGACCATCAGATAAGTGAGGGTGTAGAAAAGAATGAAAAAAAACCTTTTTTAGAGAACAACCCTCCTCTCCCAAAAGCAGGAGTAAAATGTTCTTTCTCAACTCAGTCTCAAAATTCATGGAGCTTTCCTGTGTTCATAACTGGTTTTGTTTTAGTTTTTGTACTTTGTAAGGGAAATAAAATGATCGCATAGGACAGGGATAAATAGATTAGAAAGCTAAGAACAGAAGATATGTAACTGACAGAATAGATCTACAGGAAAGGAAACATGGATTGCAAACAAAGATTATAGATTGTTAGAGGCTACAGACTTTGGTGTGAAAAGAGCAAAGAGACAAGAATCACAGTAAGGGACAAAGGTAGTTGAGAAGACTGGGTGAACAAAAAAAGAAAAGCTTCATAGACCGATTTTTACCTAGAGAAAAGAACTCAGGTAGGAAAAAACAAACAAGAAGAGACACATAAAGTAACCGAGGTGGAAAATGAAGTACAATAGACAGAAAAGACAAACCAGAGGAAATTTTCTTTATTTTCAGTTCTCATGTATGGAGAAAAATATTGAGGGGGAAAAAAAAAAATCTCCTTTCAAAGGGAAGAG